TTTCAGCCAGAAAGGTTTTCCTCTTTGTCTTGTTCCTCTGTGAAGAAAGCAGCTTGCGGTAATGCAGGGAGTTTATGTAAAAGAAAGGAGAAACTAAGTGCACTGAAACGGCATACAACATCAAAATTAGGACTGTGTGTTGTGTGAAATGGAATAAGTTATCAAAATCGCTCAAATTAGGTAGGTTGACTCTCCCTTCTGGGCTAGACGCAGATCTTTGTAAAACGGCGCTGGGAAACAGAAGATGTGGGATGTAAGACTCTGGTTAGCAGCCGGCTCTCCCTTGGACATTGGTTTTTAAAACAGGAGTGTGGGCGGAGTGACGAGACACATGATTGATTAATGACTTACTTTTCCACTTAAAGGCCACAGCTACTTTTTGCTCGGCTCCAAGTCGCGTTCATTTAACTTTAATTTATGAGGGAACGCTAAGGTAAGGCTGGATCGGCGCTCGTCAGCTCACTCAGGAGACAAGGTTGGTGTCAGGAGAGCCTTGGTTGTCTTGGTAGTGAAAATATAGTGTGTGTGTGTGGAAGCCCTTAGACTGCGCGTTTGAGGCTGCGTCATAAATAATGCACTCCATCTAAAAAGGGAAGGCTCTCCAATTAATGCACAGACAAATGGGAAACTGTGAAAAAAGACAACTTTGCACACATAATTCTTTTTTTTTGTCCCTTCTCACCCCCTGTTGTGCAAAAGTACTCTGTATCACCTCAAGACAGTCCAAGAAAGAAGCAAAAATCTGTTTAGTTTGGTGCCTTTTTAAGCACCAGTGTGCTCAATTCTCAAAAAACTCTGTTATGTGTTTTTAATCCAGTTTTGTTCCTGCACAGTTTTGTGTATGTCTAGGGTTGATTTTAAAAACTTTGGCATGATTTTCTTTTGATCCCAGACTATATATAAGAAGTCTTTTTTTTTAAAAATAAAAAAAACATGTTTCTGTTCCTCATTTTGATCACGTTCTGCTTTTGCACATTGCCATATGTTGTTTTTCTGCAACTTTTTACATTTCATGATAGTGCTCTCTGCACCCTGAGATGCTTGGAAATTAGACTTTCCAAATGTCAGCGGGGACTATTTGGTTAATTAAAGGTTAAAGACATAAAAAAGCAAGTCGTTTTTGGTTTCTATTCTCATATCCGAATGAGGAAATATCTTTGTGCTCTTTTTTTCTTGTTTTCTTGATAATATAAAATGTCTTTCCATATGAAACCACATGTGTTGCTGTTGTATAAGGCATTCAGGAAATCAACAGAACAAAAAACATTTTTAAGAACTTGGGGAAAAAAGACAAAACGAGCCACATTTGCCGCTTTAATATGTCAGAATTTATTAATTTGATCCAGAACCATAAGTATACGCCATGAAATGTACAGCTCACTTTCAGTAAGGCTGTTATTAGGACACGTTTCGGCAACCTGACAGTTATTTAGGTATGCATGGCTTACTTTTACCCTTCATAAAATTCACATTTACTTATTTGCATGTAGTACCTGAACATATCATGTTATTAAACTTCCTCCTCAGTACTAAAAGCCTGCAGCTCTGCTCAGGTATGTGTATCCAACTCGGCTGCAGGGAACAAAATACAAATGCATATTTTATGGAACAAAAACCTCAAAGCCAAACCTAGATATTAGTCACTTTAGTAATTAAAAATGTATATTGCTCTGTGCCGTCTCACATTTTGCATTATTAAAGACAGACTTTTTTCCCCCTCCTCTTCTCAAACTTACATCGGCTCAAAAGGATTTTTAATGCAAAACACTCCCTCAGAGTGGCTGTGTGCACTTCACTCGACTCCTCTGGGTGAATTAGCAGACTTGTAGCAGATGAGAAAAACAAGGTGAATTTGTATTGGCAGGAGTTCCTGCACAGGTGCCTCAGACAGGGGGTATTGTAATTACAGCACATCACATTTGCTGAAGGGGAAAAGCTGCATTGAAACATGCAGTTTCTTACAGTTTCATCAAAAAAGGTTATTGTCAACAAAGTAAGCAGTATTAATAGCCAAGTGGATTTTTCTCACTGACTTTTAACAAGTTTATGACAAAACATTTTGACAACTAGAATATTGGACAGAAGAACAGACTATACATTAGAAGAAACCATGATCAGATGATTTGAGATGACTGCTTTCAATTAAAATGGGTTTACATCATGAAAGTTGACCATCTGTAAAAATCCACGTAGAGAACGCCCTATTCTTCATGGGGTCCCCAAACACAGTGCTGGGAATGAGCACAGCAAATGATTTGTTATGACAACGCAGATAGAGATGACCATTTAAATGATTTCTCTTTTCATTCAACAATTCTGTACTAACATTATCAATTAACCCAAATAAGTGATTGTATGAAGATGTGAGTATCAAGAAGTAGTATTTCAAAATAATGACCAATGACAAAATAATGACTATTGATTATTTTGACTTGTGAAAGTAAGGTAAAAGATAAGGCATAGAACAACACAGACAAAAAACAGAAATTAAAATTATTATTATTATTCCCAAATTGTATTTTTTCTTGGCAGGAATGGGTTTCCATAAGATATATAGAGACCCGGCCTGAGAAAACATATCTACTTGAAAGTTAGGCTTGAATGTTAAAACATTTACATTAAGTTAAAATATTAAAACTAGCTGTTAAATCAGTGTGTGCAACGTGACAATAATATTATTACAAATGAACCTGCATCTGAAGTCTGACTGTCTGACCCGGAGAAAAATAACCAAAACTGAACTCATGCTAATATTTCCAACTTCCAAGTGAGTGAGCTGAGGTTAATATATTATCACATGTTTAACACTACAATTAAGTGCTACTATATAAAATCTAATTATTTCATAACAGCAGACTGCATTGGGTTCTACACATCTTTACGCTGGATATTTAAATTAAAGTATATCATCTTAAGCTGCTAATTCCATCAAAAGACAACCAATTATGAATAAAAGTGAGCCGAGCACCACAGATGCTGACAGCGATTCCACTCACTTAACAAAGAGTAGGTGATAACATTCATGTGCATGCGCGCACGCACCCACCCACCCACACACACAATACAATTCCACACACGCTTAGGCTAAAATACCTACAGAATTGAATGATATACAGCACACGTACTGCAAGTGAATGCACATGCATGAAAACACAGCAGTTAGTTTTGCAACAGACCTTTCGTAGCATCACATATTAGTCACAAGGCGTCTTACACAAAGTTTATGCTGCCTAATCTATTACCCTCTAAATGGGATTTTAATTGAATTGGCGTCAAAACGACAAACAATGATGCCTCTGTTGCAATTAATAAAATCACAGCGCAGAATCTATGAGGCTTGATATGAACCTCCATTCAAATCAAGTTCATTAATGTAAATGCAAGCCATTCAAAGAAGCTCCTAATTTTTCAATTGAACCCCCACCCCCCCTTGATAGTTTTTGAAAAGGAGGCCCAACAACAGAGAAAGAGAGGAGGAAAAGGCAAAGAGGGAGATCAGATGTGTTGTTTTGGTTCTGTTGAAGATGAAAAGAAGATGATGGCATCTTTTTCTTCAGCGTTATGGAAAGTGTTTATGTAAGGTAACTGAGAATTACAGATGCACCATGACAGACAAAGTGCAGCAGATGAAAACCTTTTGATGATGAAAATTATAATTGTTATTCTTTTAAAATTCTTCTATCAAAAACATTTTATTGTTTGGTAAATTTCAATACACTTTACATTCGAAAAAGCAGTCATCTCTATCAATATTGAGAAATATGTATAATTACTATTTCCTACAAAGCGGTTACACTGTTTTTGTTTTTGTAAATGAGAGCCCTTCTGCTACCAGTGGCTGAGTAAATACAATGAGGTGATTAAAAGGGGGGAATGCTTTAAGCGCAGCGCTAATTAAATGGGTATGCTAATGCTGTCATGCTTAGCAGATGGAAGAAGAATTACTTAAGTGTAATGCACATGTTATGGTATTTTCAACATGACATGCAGGCCCTCGTGGGATCGCTCCCTGCCGTCATGTCATGTTTCACAACTACTCAACAACACGCACATACACACACAAACACACACCTTTAGTGATACTATCCAGCCTGTAAACTTGTGAGTGTGTGTAGCCACCCATATGGATACAGTGATACACACACACACACACACACACACAGTACAGATTTACATCAAATGTGTCATTTCTGAATGCTGTCAGTAATTTTGGTGAGAGGAAGTCACAGTGCATATTTACTTTAAGTTTTTAGAAAGAAGCTGAGTTGAGAGTGAGAGGATCTTTATATGAAGAAGACTTTTGTCCTACTGTCACCCATATTTCATCACCGATTGGAGTTTTAGTTGTGCAAACGTTTCTAAATGGCAAAACAAGGTTAACTAAAAAACACATCACACAACTCTTCTCCAGCACGCAGACATCATCATATGCTTTACTCACCAAACATATTATTGGGAAAGAGTGCAACATGTTTTAATTTTAATGAACCACTGAACTCTTAAATAAAATCAATTAATTACGTTAGCTTGTTATTTCATTTACTGTATTCATAAAGTTTAAGGTACCCTGTGGAGGTTTTGAGGTATGGTTTTATGAGTGGGACTCTGTTTGGACGTGTCGTTTGGCAGCAACAAAAACAGGTAAGAAGAAGACAGTGAGCAAGTGCACATGGATAAACAATATGGGATTTTAAATAATTTTTTTATTAGTTTTGCATATGTTTTTAACCGTTTTAGGTGAGAAACACTGAACGTAAACATATTTTTTTTTACGGGAACTTGACTCTTGTATTACTAATGCAAGATCATTTTGAATGTGCTCTTTCCTGATAATGCAGAGATGTTTTTTTTTTATTTTTTATAACTGAAAGGTTGAGTAAGAATAACTTTTTTGTCTAATCTGAGCCTGGTGTGATCTTGTCACACTAGTGGGAAGGACAGCGAGGCTAACTAGCTAGTTAAATATTAAATAATATAGTAATATTACGATGCATTATTAAATTACACATTTTTCCTTTTTTATTAAAAATACTTATCCTGAATATACACTGTTGACACTGACCAAAACTAATCTACAGTAGTATACATTAAGCAATATAAAATAATGACTAACAAAATAAAGCATATTAAAAATATATAAAATATGTTTTTAAACCATCCAAACACTTTTCTGCGCCATCAAGACCTAAATAAAACTATAAATAACAAATATTTGCATTTCTACTAAAGTCAAAGGATACAAAACAAAATCTACACACATCTAAAATGATACAGAACAAAGCAATCAGGCAGTAGTCTTGAAAAGACTAAAATACACGTTTAAGATAAATATTATAGCCGTTTCCCGCCCAGAGACCGGTCCAGTCAGCCCACCACCATCACCTCATCTACTGTATCTGCATGTCTCCCTAATTATGGTCCATGTTTATTCCCTGGAAGACCAACTTCCAACAGAGATGGCAGGTTGTGTAATCAAAAGTCTTACTCTCGGGGCTCCCAAAATGTGACCGCCTGTAAATGAAAATTGTATATTTTGGAACTTCATCTGGGGAGACACCATTAGCGTCAAAGTGTTCTGACACACTTGTTTATTCCTGGAGCTTCTGAGCGTGTTGTTACAGACAGATGCAAACCACAGACATCTGCAAAAGGTATCATCCTTTTTGAAAGTAAAAAAGGGGGGGGGGGGGGTTAAAGAAAGACAAAGGACAAATGACTATCAGCTTCAAAGTAGAGCAAGAAAAGAACATTTTCATCCATTACAGTAACCACACGAGCCTTAACCACACATCTACCACCATGTATCACCCAGGACTATTAAACTATATAATGCTTGCAATTTCCTTTGGAATTGATACATATGTAACCGTTTTTTTGTGTCTAAAAAAAGATATGTAAACTGTGCACAATGCATAAAGCCAGTGCATTAAGGAAGCCATAGAAAAACCTACTGGTGATCTACTTATTCAACATTAAGTGTTGCATCTCAAATCCTTCTCTCTCCCTTGTTTCCTGACCCCCTCTTAATTTTTCAATAAAGGTGAACATTTTCCAAAAAATTACCATGCTGTACTTCCTGTGAAGGTCATTGCATCATTCTGAAACAGACCTGTGTCATGTCCTGGGTCGATTCAGCCATCAGATTTCAGTGATTATGTTTTCTTTAAATCAAGTTAAGCCTTTTATTATTGTAAGTGCTAAATTATGAGGAAAAGGCAAAAAAAGCAACATCTACGTGTTTGTTAGTGAGCAAAGAAGCAAAGATCCAGCCTGAGATATTTTGACACTTATCAACACAGCTATTTTTACATTTGTAGCTCTATTTAATAGGTATTCTTCCTCCCACGGATAACCGGTCAAATATAGACAATATGAGCATTTTACGTGAAGCAATCACTGAGGAAAAATTGGCTCAACTAAAACATTTTGCCATCAAATTGAACATCACAGACTGATGAGATCAAACAGTCGATGACAATCTGAGGGTGGATCTTTTCTTTAAACTGTCAAACTCTGGGTGTGCACTTTGTCACGGCGTTCTCTCCCACACGAAGAGAAATAAAAGAAAATAACATGAATCAGAGACAGGGGAGCCTCCAGCGCTGCATTTTTTGTTATCATTCTCACATTGCAAGTACAACCTGGAACAGAGGCTTAACACGGACAGATCAGCAGTCTGCCTCTGTGCTGGGGATCAAACGAGCACACAAGGTGAGGGAACTCCAGTCAGTCTGGATTTCCCCTGAAGAATAGCCTGAGGCAAAAAAAACGAGAACGAAAAACCCCTCACAAATTGAGGGGGCGATGTAAGGCTGCAAGGAACATTAAAAAATGTCACGTTTTTGAACCATTTGGTAGGGGAAGTTAACCAAATATGAATGCGGTGTAATGTTCCTTTAAGCTGTCATTTAAACTCATACCTATCATCACTCGTGGTCTTAGCGTGCGCGGGGGTACTGATGATCCAACGAGGAGCGTACAGTTGATTAACTGTGCCCCATCCAAGCGTTGCTTTCTCTATTTCTGTCAGGCCTAATGGCATTAGATCAGTAATTATAAGATTATTCACAGTTCACGCGGGCCTCACTGTTAACTTTTGAGATATGAGACCATTATCTTCTTCTAATCTCTTTTTCTCTGAATTACAGCGCAGATTCATATCGCCGTTTTGACGGCTCGTATGTTGCGCCCGTCTTCAAACTGGCACACTGTGTCTTTGTTCAGGTTCCTTTCACGGCTTTTGATCACAGACAACTTCTCTTTTCTAGAGCAGCTTTGAAAAAAGTGCTAAAGGGAGTTTCTACCTACAGACACACTGGCTATGTTTGATCACACATTTATGGTGCTCATTGTTAACTGCTCTGTCTGCATGCGGTGACAGTGTCACTTGAAAACTTTCAAGTTCTTCTAATGTACTGCCAAAGTCTGGATTGTTCCACAAACTGGAAGGATAAATAGATACATAAATGGTACTGTACATCCTGTAACTTTGGATCGGTGAGATTTATAACACTGAAGAGAGTCATGAAACCAGCGGGAGTAATACTCTCCCCTCCTTCCAAAATTGCTGCCTGGAGAGGCCTTTAAGCACTGAACCTTTGCATGGTTCTGTGGTTCAGTTAGAGTGTCCCAATAAGGACTTTCTGTCCAAACATGTGGCTCAGATCTGAGTTTTTCTGCAGCATGAAAAAGAGAGCCTCACAGAAGTCAGATTTCAGAACGAAAGTACAAAAATGGTTGTGAAGACAAACCTTTGCAAGAACCAATGGTTTTAAAAATAGCCATTCATCCACCTCCATCTCTGTTTGCACCAATCAGGAGCCACGCTCACGCATAACACAGGGTTAAGGTCACTTCCTTTAAGCCAAGCCTCCGCCGCTCAGCCCTCTGTCTCTCATTCCTCGACTCATCAGAGGAGAGGCAGACTTCTCAGCCTCCCCTGTAATTAAACACCGAAGAGGAGCCGTCACAGCGGGGAGCGGCGGCTTGTAGCTCTCTGGGGTGAAGCAGAGCCACCACCAAAGATGAGGAGGAGGAGGAGATGAAGGCAGAAGCTGCAGCTGAAGGTAGCCTGAAGGTTACAAGAAATAGCTTGTAGACTGAGGTTGTCAATTGAGGTCTCTATATTATCAGGCCTCTGTAACAAGGGATGTCCAAGAATGATTGAGCAAGGCACTCAGCCTCATTCGTAGGGTTTTTTCTGTGCTGGATTAGGCTATGAGACATTGTCTCAGGATATTTGCACAGAAATTCTCCATCATCTGTATGACATCAAATGTTTTTAGAAGGGTGAAAATCATATTTCTTGTTGGTGGGCAAAAACTTTGCATCTTTAAAATAAGTAACAATTCATAAAAAATCTAAATAAGGTACAGCTAAATAATTTAATCAAAGTTGAGTGAAAGTATTTGTACATACTGTTTATGCAAATCAATGTTTGACTTTGTAGTGTAATCAAGTTCTAGGCAGAAACCTAACCCTAAACCCTGCATTTATCCATTGTTTGGATCAAGTTGATGTCCCTCCAGTTAGGCCTCTGGGATGGCCTCTTTACCCACTACAATGTGTCATCAGTGGACATCAAGCAAAAAAACGGGATCAGCAACCATAAGAGGATATGAGAATTAAAACAAATATGTCCAGAACGCTCTCTGCAGACCTCTGCAAGCGAACACGTCTCATCTGTACACTGATAGAGAGCAATTAAGCAAATTATATTAACAAAGGGCTGGAGGGCCGTTTTGCTAATGGTGTATCTCACAACCTCTGGGCAGACACGGGACTGATTCACATGTAATTTATGGCGCCATGTCACAGCCTGTAGTGTAACAGGATCAGTGTGCTGTTTAACAACATTATGCAGAGATTGTTAGATATATAGATACATGAATAGACATATAGACAGAATTCATTGGGGAGATTGATGGCACCTGCAGCTTATTAAAGCGAAACGTAATGAAAGCAGGAAGTAAACAGCATTTCGGCCTTGTAAGGCTACTCTACCTTGAAGTAAAATGTTTACAACCCAAATGGCAGCAGCTGACTCTCTATAAGGTTAAACGCCCTCTGAGACAAATCAGCAAAAGGCCCTTGTGAGGGAGCGAAGGAGGTAAAAGACAAGTGAAGGTAAATCTTTAACAGCTCAATCAGCTCCGAACACATGCGGGATGACAGCACTGGTTTGTCTAAGGGGCTCGGCTTAATTAGCCTGTGCTTTATTGTTAATGAACTTCATGCAGTTGTTTGCTTGTATAATCAAGGCGAAGAAGCAGAACTGCTAGCTAAGGTGCCAAAAATAAGCTGACAAAAGCACCAGGCCCTCCTCGATTACCCCCTCCTTCCCTGCCCATCTCCCCCTCTCTCAAATGGAAAAGCCAACTGCGTGCTTCATAAAACTCGCTTAGCAAGACACTGAGACAAAATGGACTGTAAAGTTCGTTAGATGGAAATATTAAAAAAGAATTAAGCTAATGGAGATAAAATTAAAAGAAATGAGGCAACAAACACTCCACACCAAAAATGGCATTGCCATGACAGCTAGGATTTCTAATGACGGACTGCATTTGGGGAGGGAAAAAAATTAAATGGCAACCCGCGCTTAAATTTCTTTGAGGAGTAATGATCCGAGAACGATGCTCACTCCTGGCACTCGTGGGGAAGGTGGGGGGGGGGGGGGGGGGTCTGAAAATAACAAAGGAGCATGTCCTGCAGTGAGGTTTAGGTAGCACATGTAATATTACATTGTGATAAAAGACGCCAGATCCCGTTCCAGTGTTATAGTGTGATAGAGAAGACCAGTCACAGTCATCTTACCTGCAGAGCAGAGGCAGAGCAGCCTGTGTTTGTGAACATCAGCGATGAGGAAAGAAGATTAAAAAACCTGGAGGGTAAAGAAGAGACACATCCTATTAGATGAGTTGAGTGGTTCTCAACATGGGGTCTAAGGTCCTCCAGAAGGCCTTGAGAGGCTCTCCTGAGGTTCTTGAACAACATGAGGAAGAGTTTAGTCACTTTAGAAATTATCTCAGCTGGAGTCTGTATAAAAATAGCTATTATTGTCTTAAACTCCACTACAATCTAGATAATAAATGTCACCATAATTTCTACTATTATCACCCTGTGTACAGTAAAGATCTACTGTACAGATCTAGATCAAAGTCAAATCTTTCCATATGCGTCTCTGGGAGAAGGTCTGACTCTTAAATGGCTTGAACTGATTTAGGATTCTATTACATAGGAAGATATTTAAAAGCCCAGTTTTACAGTGTGTCAGTTATGCCTCAGTCATGACACTAAGCCAATCAGGCACAAACAGGGTCACAATCAGACATATTCTGACCTTACATTATGTAAAATTAGGACAAATCTCCACTCCACACAACTATTATAAGAGGTCTGCAATAAGGGATTGTATAGTATGTAAGTGAAAATGGGTGGACTGACTGACTTTAGGTGTGATTACCAAATGAGGAATCAAGTTAGGGTTGGGCGATGTCTACAATGAAACATCGGGATCGACAATGACATCTGGTGGGGCGTGCAGGGGGCTAGCGGCCGCAAAGACTTCACTCGTAAAAAACTTGGTGCCCTATTACCTTACAAGACGGGGTGGTGATGGCGCATAGATAAGATGATTGCCTTTGGTGTGGGAGACCTGGGTTCGATTCCCATTTGTGTCCCTAGTTGCTCCAGAGGCGTGCGACCTCTGACATATATAGCAATTGTAAGTCGCTTTGGATAAAAGCGTCAGCTAAATGAATAAATGTAAGTCACGGACCAGGTGTTTCATATGCTACGTCATTAACAGTTGAGCCGGCATGCGGCTCATCTGCTGTGCAGTGATATCAGATCATGGGTGTAAAAATATGGAAAAAAGAGTTCTGTGTATTTTAGCGAACTTTATAAAACATAAAGTCGCCTAAAAGACATAGAACAGAGAGAGGCGGGGCAAAGTGGTGTGTTTGCAGAGAGATGTGTTGGTGTGTCTTAGTGTGGGGAGAAGAGAATTTCGAGGCAGGTATATTTAAAAAAAAAATAATAATAATAATGTTCGTGGTATTATGTGAAAAATTTAGATTTTTTTTCTTTGGCTGAGGGGGAGGGGGTTACAATCGCAATGCCGGCTCAACATCGTGATGTCTGTCAGCCATCGCTCATGGATGATGACATCGTCTAACAGCCCTACCCAAAGACAAGTAATTGACCCTTCGCTAAGCCACGCCCCTAATACGCAGCTGGCCAATCACAGTGCAGTATAGGATTCACTCTGAGGTCTGACACTTTCATGTCTGCGCTCCATTGACTCTAATGCAAAATGAGTCGTTTTCTAGCTTTTTTTCGGCTGTATTTTTCTAAGATATGGTCAAACGCTATACCTGGGGCACTTGTAATAATTACAGTCGCTACTCAGAGAGAGTTGAAAGGAGAAGTACGATTTATTCTCTTTCCAAAACCTGAAATAAATCCAGAAAAATGTTGGCTGTGGATTGTTCCTAATGTAATGTCAGTTAGCTAATGCTAGCTAACTTCCGACTGAATGTAACGTAATAAGTCCCTACTGTTTTGCTTTTTAATGAATGTAATAATGAATAGAGGCCTACCCAGCTTTACAGGAACGGTGTTGTAGTCGTTCATATCGTTGTCTTTGTCTCAATCGTCGGGGGATGCGGTGGTTCACTTTTACTGTGTGATCGGTAGGCTTTAGCTTCTATCTTTAATTTTTTTCACGTCTGTTTGAGTCAGTTTGACAGCCTGAATACAACCTTCAAATGTATAATGCAACTGCAAAACTTTCTGCTTCTTTCTGAGATCGCTTTTTCCAACAAATTTGTCAATTTCTCCAGAGAGCGCAGTAATAGACAGTGGCAGCGCCAACAGTTTGTCGGATTTAGCAACAGTAACTAGGGGGGCGGGGATTAGCGAAAGGTCAATTGGATTGACCATTTTACTTTTTAAATTATTATTCTATATGACTTGAAAAATCTTTATCCTGATAGGCATGAGCTACAGATTACCTCTCTCAAAACACTGCCTATTCCAATTTATAGTAATAGCGTGATCAGGCGTAACGGAAACTGTCTGTAGAGGTCTACATCAAGCACAGAAAAATGTGGACTGTGCATGTTATAGGCTGAGGTCACGTTTGAGCCTTAAAATGCATATTACAATTGAATGTTACTATTAGTAATGATGTTAATGCTGAATTTGTTGCTAGGTCAAGTCAAGATGAAAAACCTTGCTAACTGTTGGGGCTCAGGCCAAAACCTCCAGACCTGTACAATTGTCTAACCGATCAGTTATGTTTTGGCACACAGAGACACACAATGTCCTGTTGATGTAAGTTAATGTAATTTTATCATGAGTTAGATCACATATCTCTGGATAAAGCTCCACACCTTATTATACATTTGCAAACCAGGGTTTTAAGGTGAATTACTGCTCGCAGAACAAACACAGAGCATATATAATGCTGCTCTGTGCTAGCAGGCAAACTACTGCATGTGACTGCAAAAGTTGCCCTGTCACACATACACATACACAGAGCCTCTAGCATTCATTCAGGGGACAGTCTGGGAACGGAGCAGGGAACATAAGAAAAACGAGGGATTTCTGCTTTTTTCCTTCCACAACTTCTTCCAACTTTCTGCAAGTTGCCTCCACCGTCTCCTCACATGAATTTGCATGTGAGGAAACAGAGGAGCTTCCCAGGGAGGCCGTCCTTCTGCCGTCACAGTGCTACTTTCCCAGTCTCTATTAAAACAGGCCAAATTTATTACCAAAGTTTCTGAAACAGGATTTCTGCAGTACAGCAGAGGATTAGGCCACTCCTGCTTTAGGATCAAATTGCAATAATTAGGTAGAACATGAAGCCAAAATACGTGAAACACGTTGGAACTTGACACGAACACAGACGTACAGTACACACACACATACACACACAAATCAAGAAAAATATTCCATTTCAGGCAGATTCTCAGAATGAGCGAAATCCCGGATACTGCGAGGCCTTTTCAGCATTGCCAGTTAATCTCCTCAAGGAGAAATGCAAGATGACAATGGCAAAGCACCTCCAATAATTGGTTCCAACAGGCTTACCGTATTAAAACCTGAAATGAGTTCTTCCCCTTTTAAGTATGATCCATTATTTCAATCCGGGGTAGAAAATTTTGTCTTTGAGAATATTAATAACTCCCAACCACGCACTAACATGAAAAAAACAGCCCCCTCCTCCTCACCCCTCCCCTCCTAAAAGCTGTGTACCTGGCACCGCGGCAAAGGTCCCACCAAGGACGGGCACTTGAAAGCCTCGGTCCTCCCTTTTTCTCCTTCTACCCCTTCTCATTTTTTTTATTTTTGTCTCCTCTCAGGCTTCAGAGCCATCTTGAAGAAGACCTTGAGGCCCCCTTTGTCGTCTTCCCTTGAAACAAAACAAATAGAATTCAGGTCTTTTGATTGGCTTTAGTGAGCAGATCTCGCCACGTCTGCCTCCCGTCATGTGAGCCAGAAGTTGTGACTTCAGAGGAGAGCCCCGACGCTCCTATCTCAGCATTGAAATGAGACCGGCAGGTCTTGAGAGGATGTCTGCTAACTTTCTTCCCACATCCAACCTTGTTACAAAATACAGAGAGTGTTAAAAACTTAATGCCGTTGTCGCTTTCACTTTGCGGAGGCAGGAGTGGCGGTCGGCTTATTATATCGTCCTAGAAAATACACCTTTTCTGCAGGATTGTTGTCATTTCCCAACTGACTGCAGGGATATTTGAATATTTTTGATTATGTCTTGCATAGAACATACTGCAATCCCCTTTACCGTCCTGAGGGAAATTTGAGTTTGCAAGGCCTGGACAGAAACAGCAGATGACAAGTTTCTTTCCATTTTGGTGCATTAATTTATGCCCTTTTCTTTGCACCTCTGCAGGAGCAAACAAGAAGTTACCCTGGTGTTTAGATCCAAAACAGTGAAGATATGGAAAGAATCTGATGAAAAGAAGAAGAGAAAACATTAATAAAAACATCAAGCGCAGGCATTTGTTGCTTGACTGCTGTGTACATCTTTACACAAGCTTGCATCATTATGGTTTGTTTAGTCTGCAGATCAAGCCAAAAATTGTTCAGATCACCAGGCGTCTGAAAAGCTTTTAAGCACTTTATTCAGATAAGCCCTCTTTGATATAAGATCCATGCATGAGTGAAGGAAAACCGCCGAGATAAACACAACAACTGACATCTGCTAACCAACTTTTTTTCTCCTTTTTGAGGCAATGTTGCCAGAAGAAATTGTCTGGGTTGTTTGTGTTGGGGAACAAGGAGCACCGTTACCAACGCCGGTGCACACCGTTTATTTTACTTCTCCGAAAGAGAAAGATTACTGTGTTTTACCATTTGATCTGATCTCATGTAATGTAGAGCATCTATAGGGGGTGGAATGACAGGAAAGCTAATTATTGGCTTCAGAGTAAAGCTGCAGTTGGCAGCAGCTGAAGAACAAAGTGGACTTTAAAGCCTCTAATGATGGTATCTGATATTATTGGTATACGTGTCATTAATAGGGTTTTAATGGAGCCAGAAAAAAAGTTATAGGATAAATTTTTCTATAGTATAGTGAGTAACAGGCCCCCTACTGTTAGACCTTTAGAATATGGCAAAACTAACCCAGTTTATGGTCTAAACAAATAAAACTTTCACTTTACCTCCGTTTTTTGCTATTGTTTAATGTGGATGAAATCATTGCTGCTGTAAAACTAAATTTAATTACTGAATCGTTTTACATAAGTTTACTTATTATCTTGAATCCTTTTTTTGAAAAAACATTTAGGCCAGTAACAATCACAGCAGCCTGTTGAAACCAGTCTTTGTTGTATGCATACCTGGCAGAAAAAC